GCGTAGTGTCGGCTTTACATTTATTGTCGAACTATGTGGTCCGATATTTTCAACATACGAGACACGGTCCATTTCGAAAACGACAATCCCGCAAGCGACAACCGATTCATAGGCAACCTTTGTGGAACTCGATGCCAAATTAATCAACGGCGCCTGCCGCGCTCAGGAACAGTTGACTTCTGTACCACCTTCTTCTTAAGAACAGTTTGGGAATGATTCTTGATCACAGTTGCAGCTGTACTCCTAGGAATATTGGGTTCCCTTAGGGGTTTAGAAATAACATGCCAAGGAGACGTAACGCTTCAGTTCGAATCCAGTCTTCGTTTGTGAAACGCGTATACTTCACATAATACGTGAGTACATGCAAATTTAAAAAGCAGGAAAGAAATTGTTGGAAAAATTAAATATCTCAAGTCGTCCAATCTATTGTGCACCGCCAAAAAAATCAATATTTCACTCTAAAAATTTTCAAAGACACTGTATTTAACTGACTATTGCAAGAGTAAATCCTGAGCCTTTCGTGTGTCTAGAAGTTCATAATCGTTCCCGTTGGTGGAAGAACCACTAAAATTAGAAGGAGTGAAAGGGACAGGGTGGGGACCGCGATAGCAGGTGGCTTGAGGTTATAAATAGTAAAACGAGCTTACTAAGGGCGTAGAAAAGCAAAAGCGACCAATTTCATTACGTTGCCTGCGCTAGCAATTAGATACTAACAGCCTTCGCGATGACAGTCGAAGTGTGGGTTTTACATGTTGAGGGGTTGGATGGGACACTGGTGTGGGTGGTATGATGAACTGATAATAAAGGCAAGAACCAATAAGTGGCGTCTGAATGCAGATTTCCCCAACTTCGTTCCATTTGTCTCGTGCAGATGATAAAGGCAGCAGGGAATCGATGAAAGGAAGTGATAATTAGCGAAAACTATAGCGAGAAAAGTGACTAAAAGTGCGGCTGAACTAGACCAGGTGCTTAGAAGGTGGGCAGATTCCATTTTCAATCGTTTACCAAGAAAAAGTGGGCTGTGCCGCTCAACTATTAGGTTGTCCCATAAATAGCGACTCACTTTACATTTATTACTATGAAAGTTCAAAAAAATTGTAAAAGCATGAAACATGTTTTGCATAGTAATATTCACATTATA